GGGGCAGGCGGTGCATTCTAGGAGGAGAGAGTAGTCGGAACACAAACACCACACAAAATCTCACAAAGGTTGAGTAATTGACTCTAAAATCAAATAACAAAACTGACTCAACCAAGGAGGAAAAGAGAAAGAAATGCAAACCGACTGGTTGGGTTGCCTCCCAACAAGCGCTTCTTTCACGTCGTGAGCCGGACGATGGCTCCTAAGTTTCGGTCCACCCCAAAACATCCTTGAAGTTGAGGTTCTCGTCAATGAGGTGGAGTCTCAAGTCACGAGCATGTGGTATGACAAGTGATGGAAGCTCGTGCACTTGATGCAGATGAAGTCTCCACCCTCGAGACCTCTTCTTCTCTTCTCTCGTCTCATTGCCCCAAACTAAATATGACAATGTCGATTAACCACCATCGCGTCCACCAAGAGGGACCGATGTCGATGTGGCCTTGGTCTGGCAAAGAGACACTGCAAATGGGTCCTTGCTAAGCAGTTCCTCAAAGTTTGGTGGAGATATCAACCCCCCTTCCTTCTTCATGTGGTATCAACCCTGGGAAATGATCAAGAACTCCTTTTGCTTCACTTTCGTCATCCTCCACAACTTCTTTCTGCACCCTTGCTTGCTCTTTTTCTTCCAGCACGGATTGGAGGGCAAGTCGCCAAGCAATTTCTTTCATGAGATCATCTTGCATCTCCTCACTCATGTCCGCCTCTTCAAAGCTCAGTGTGGGATGTGGGAAGGTGTGGTGGGCTATGATAGGACATTCCTGATCATGATCATCACGGGAGCTCTCCGTGACAACTTCTGTCTGCTCCACACTGTCTTTGTAGCCTTCATCTTCCTCCTCCTCTTCTTGTATAGTAGCAAAAGGGTGATATTGAGCAGGCTGTGCATAAGATTTCTCAAGATCATCGAGGCTCTTCTTTATGCTCAGGAGGATCTCCTCTGTTTCACGATAGGCCTGAGTACAAAGATCCATCCTGGAGCATGATCTCTCACTATCTCGAGCAAACTGCTCCATGAGAAGCCTCAATTCATAGTTTGGATCTGGCTTTGGAGTGTAGCATGACTCTGCAGAATGGCCCGTGAAGGCCGCCATGGGTAACTCCAGCTCCGATGGCCCTTCTGGTTGTGGGAGAAAGTCTTCTTGATAAGGAGGTTGCTCTTGATATGTCCAGGGGTCTGATTGTTCTCCGTAGTAAGGGGGTTGGTACTGGAACCCTAATCCATAGTCTTCTCCTCCTTGATTGCTCCAGGGAGTCTCGGGGTAATACCACTCGGATGGTGGTGGATACCCCCACTGGTTGGAGAAGCCATGAGGATCCATGATTCAGATCTGCACCAACAACAACAAAAACACCCAAATGAAAAGCAAGGGTGGAAAGAAAAAGAAAAACACTAAAATAACAAACTTCTGCCTTTCCTAATAATCTAGAAAGTCTAGGGCAACGGCGCCAAAAACTTGACACGCTACGACACAACTCCTAACAATGGCCAAGTGCAACCAATGAAAGGTACTGCAGTATAGTGGCTCAAGTAATAAATATCGAATCCACGGGTCTCTAGAGTTACTATTACTCAGCTTCAGTTCATTATCTAGCAAACCAGATTAAGATGAAAGAACTAAAACTACTCTAGCAAGCTACAGTTAAAGTTAATCTAATTACAGGTTGGGAACTCACTTAGGTATGATTCCCCCTAGCCACTAGCCAGATTAATGATTGATGATCTCTAACCTATTTCACTTTCATTCACAATGCGGAGAATCCTTGACTAGACCTTGAGTCTCGACTAAAGGAACAAGGCCCTCTTGAGTCAATTGCCTAGAGGGACGTATCCTTCTCTAGAACAACTTATCAAGGCGTTCTGAACTAGAATCCCTCTATTGAAAGAGGTTCTCAATCGATACAAAGCAGTGAATCAACCCTCGACTAAAGCAATCGATCCACTACTATCAATCTATGGTGCTCTATTGACCTAATCAGGTATTCGCTCTCATAGGATCAAATCAGAATCAATAATCTCGATTAAAATAGAATTAAATCGTGAAAACATGCATAGATTGAATATGAACTCAAGATTATCAAGTCAGAGTACTCATACAATCATCCAATCAAACAAACATAGCTAAGGTTCCTCAAAACCTAAGTGAAGGGAAGTTACTCCATAGAGAAGAGAGAGACTGCAGTAAGAATCTTCAGATGATCAGTCTTCAAGTCCGGGCTTGTTCCTCGAGCTTCCAAAGCGAAGAAATCCTCCAATTCCACTCCAAGAATTCCCTCAAATCGCCCTCTCTCTCTCTTTGGTTCGTCCCTTGGGTGTTTGGGATCCAAAACCCAGCTCTCCCTCTCCTTTGGCTCGAATTTGGGTTAAAACCCAGAATTTCCCGACTCACACGGCCAGGCCACACGGCCGTGTGACTCTCCTAGGCTGCCCGTGTGAGTGTCAAAACGCGGAGTTTCGATAAGTGGCTTCAGGCTTCCTACATGGCCACGACCCACACGGCCGTGTGGACTTCCAGGGTGCCCGTGTGAGTTCCCTGGAATTTCCACACGGCCACAAGGGGTCCCCTACACGGCCGTGTGGCTTTTAGGCATGCCCGTGTGGCTTCTCAGCTTCTCGCCAAACGTCCAAACTTCGTCCAATCGACCCCGAACTCGTTCCTAAACCTTCATTCACATACTAGGACCTGAAATATCACAAACAAGAACAACCTAGCGTGAAATCGGCCTAAAATGCGAGAATCGACATCTCAAACGGCTCAAGGATAGGGGTAAAAACATGTGTAATCAATGGTCTATCAACAATCCACACAGACAAAAACATAATACATCATATTTGCTCTAGCTTCAACAATCCACATATAAACAAAAACAATATTAGAACCATACCACATCAAATGCTCACTGCTTAACTTATGTTTCATGACATCCATCAAGGCATCATTAGTAGAACAATTATCCAAGGTAATCGTAGATACCTTTCTGTCAATATCCCAAGCAAGTAAAGTTTCAAGAAGAGCCTGAGCAAGCACCTCACTTGTGTGTGGGCAAGAAAATCGACTGCTGGGTAGGGTTAGGGCTAAAGAAATTAACCCTTTAGTTAGCGGGGCGGGTATAACAGGGCGGGTATTATCGATTACCATACCCGTAACCTACCCTTTATTTTGAAACCGGGTATTACCCGTACCCTCCCCTTAACCCGTCAAAGCGGGTAATTACCCTCATTGACCGGTTATGGTCGGGTAGGATACCCATGGTTACGGGTTGGATTGACATCCCTATTCTCAACCCTACTCCGAACCAGGATGGGGTGGTGATCTGACCGGACATGAGTAAGGTGAGTGTTGAAGGTGTTCGGATAGAGATCGAGCCAATCCTGGTTGCACAATGTCTAATCTATGCGTTGTGAGAGCCTTCCATTCGTCCAGGTGAAGCGAGGACCTGTAAAGCCGATGTCAATGAGCCCACAGTCCTCAATACACCTATTGAAATGGATCGTTCTATGCTTGTTGAACCCTGCCCCTCCCCGACGATCCGATGGATGGCGTATGGAGTTGAAGTCCCCCTCTAGCAGCCATGGATTCGAGACTCTTCGTTCCAGTTGTCGAATTGCCTCCCATAAAGGTAATCTGTCATGGTCATTGGGTTTGGCATACACCGTTGTTAACTCTACGCTCTGGTTATCCTGCAAGTTCAGGCAATTAAGATGTAAGAACTGCGGATCTTTGTCAACAATTGAGATAGCTAAATCGCACTTATTCCAAAGGACCCATATCCCCCCGGAGAATCCCACAACATCAACACGGTCAAAACCGTCAAAACCCATAGAATCCAGAACATCTAGCGCGTCTTTACCGCTGATACGCAGCTCAACGATGAAAAATAAATTAGGTTTATATCTATGCATATACTCTTTGAAGACAGACAGAAATTTAGGGTGTTTAGCCCCTCGACAATTCCAACTAATTATACAAAACATAATAAAGATGGAAGAGAGGTAGGACGAGAGACTCCCTGTCATCCTGCGACATTGAGCGTGGGATTAGCCTCGAGCCCAACACTATTCCAGGTTCTCCACCATGGTGATATCTTTCAAGATAGTGCTCACATTTTGCTGTGAATCTACAGCCTTCAGTTTAGATTGGGCGATGAAAGTCTCAATGGATTTCTTAGTGATTGGAAACATATTCTCCTTCGTCTTCTTGGCGGAGGTTGCAGACTACTTGACATTTTTCTTTTCCTTTTTCTTAAGACTCAGGCCACCTCTATGGTTCTTATCCGGGGTGCTTTTTGCAGTTTCTGCTGGTAGTGTTGTCGGATTGAGTGGTTGGAGTTCAGGGGTGTCATTTCTTTTGTTGTGGTCTCAACAAAAGGGATCAGAAGGCTTGGGCTTACACTCGGTGTATTTTCAGAGATAGAAGGGCCTTGGGTATCTGAATGGGTCAGGCCTGCTGAAGAGGTCTCCATAGCATGGGCTTGGGTGTTGCTGGAGCCCACTTCTTTAGGAGACACTACCTGCCATTCCTGTAGAGCTGTTCCTTTTTTATTATCGTGGGATGTTGAATCCCCATCTGATGTCGCCTTCCCCTTATGCATTTCAGAATTACCTTTTTGAAGTTCGATTCCGTTCGATCCCTTTCCTTTCTCGTCCTTGCCGACCTTAAGTGAGTCTGCTCCTTTTTGGATGGAGCCGATGATTTCGATACTGGATGCCCTTGATTCACGTTCTTTCCTTGTTGGTTCCCTTGTGTGATTCCTTGATTGTGGCTAGTCTTCCGATTCTGTTTCCGGTTTTTGCGCGTCACCTACATCCAGGGACCATAGCCGGCCAGCTGTTCTGATGGCGGATCTCACGACGGAGATGATAGGATTTCTGGTGAGAGCATCATCCCCTGCGTCACTCCTCCCGCTGACATGTCTGATTTTTTCGGACAGTGGTCTTCCGAATGACCTATCCTCCCGCACTCGAAACATATATGTGGCAAATTCTCGTAGAGAACTTGTTGTCAGAATCCGTCCAATCTGATTCTCGTCAGAAGGGGCTTTGTCATGTCGAGTTCAATTACGATCCTTGCAAACTTACCTCGCTCGAGATTCTCAGTATGATAATCCAGCTTTACCGTTCTGCCAATAAGATTACCGAGTGCAAACAGGACCTCTCGATGATAGAAGTGCACCGGGAGTTCTGGTAATTGTACCCACTCTGTGACTGATCTATGAGTTTTATCTGATTCCCTGAAATTGGGTGACCATGGGTGAACAACAAGGTAGTGGTCCAGGATCTCCCTAGGGCCTCCTGTCAGAGCATGTAGGTAGTCTTGGTCGCTGGAGAACGTGACTAGGAAGGTTTCATTGTTCAGGTCCATGACGTCCATTGTGCCCGTTGGTCGCCACTTTCATCGGAGTTGTGCACGCAAGTAGTTGTACGCCACCGACCGGCCTAGTAGTCGGATTACCAGTGTCTTCGCCCAGGGAACGCACAGTCTCTCTCTAAACTTGGCTGAAATCTTGAGCTCTGGTTCACCAACGAAGGAGCCCGCCTTAAGGTCGTGTTCACCAATATAAGTCCACTGATTGGCTTTCGTGCACGGTTCCTTTGAGACACCGGCAAGCGCGGTCTTGTAGCTCAGAGACGGAAAGCTCGTGGAGTTCTACAGGGGAGATGGAGTCACTTGAGCCACAGCCAAGGGAAGAGTAGGTAAAGAGATTAGCGGTTGTGATGGGTCCGACGACCGACCATTCTGTTGCATAGCCGGCGACAGAGCCGCGGAGGTAGAGATGTTTTCAGAGAGCATTTTCAGAGAGCTCTTTTTATTACTTCAAACTTTGTATTTTTAGGTAACCACTATTAAATCCCACATTTATATCCAAACGTGGTCTTTAATCCAAAATCCACCATTAAAATATATGTTTTTTGAATGTGGTATTTTGGTACAAATCACACACTAGACAAATCTCTAATCCCAACCATCTCTAAAATTTCAAATTTGATGACCATTTGTTAGTAACTCAAAAGTTCAGCGATCATTTATATAATTGAACCGTAGCATCCTCTTACTCCCTCCCACCACTCGAATATACCATTTCAGGCCCTATCCCATGGCATGCTTTCCAGCTCTTCCTGCCCTGTGATTGTGAAGAACACAAAACTGAAAACCCACTGACTACTTCCTTCCCTGTTCCTGTTTATCCTTTCTCCCCACTGGTGGCAGGAATCAAGCGACGAGCAAGTGATGACGTCGTCGTCATCATCGTTATTTGCTTCTCATCTCTCCCTCGTCCCGCAGCGCGTCCCACTATCCTCTGCTCACTTCCGGCGTCAGTTCACTATCCCTCCCTCCTCTTCTATCTTCCCTTTTCAGAACGTTGCGATTTCTTGAAAATTTTTGTGCCCCATTTCCATTTGGCAATTGAACCGCTTCTTATGTAATTTGTGGCTTGGATAAACATGTTAAACTTTGGAATCACCCTAAATGTTCGTCCTTTTCTTTCTCTTTGAACAGCACTCCACTCAAATTCATTTGGGTTTGTTGTTAAATCAAGTCTGGAGAACGATGGTTCCGCTCCTGAAAGTTCGGGAACTTCAGACTTTCCAGTCACACCAAAGGTTGGTTGCCATTCTGCTGTATACTCTGCGTTTAGTGCTCATAACGAATCAGTTAGCTATAAACCAAGTAATTTTCCGAGGGAAGAACATAGTAGTAGGCTAGTAGCTAGTGTTGAATGGAAAAAGCAAGGCCCTTTGATGTTCCATAAGCCATAGGATTTAGTTCCTTTTTAATATTTATGCTAGCTTATACGTACTCTTTGCTATGTTGGGATGAAACATATGGCTAGGAACCACTATGCTCCATGGTCTTCTATCATGTTTGCTCTTGCCAGTGCTGTTAACATTTTGTCTGTGTGTGTGTGGTGGAACTGGTGTTAGCTTTTTCAGTGCTCTAAATGTCTGTTTGATTGTACAGGAATCCCAAACATCAACATCAAGACGTTGGTGTCTTACGTGTATATGTTCAACTGTGGCTTTGATCGGTAATTCCTCAGTTTCGCTTTCTGTTCCAAGGGCAAATGCTTCAGATGGAAAAGAAAAGCCTGTGTGCCGTAATTGTCAGGGCTCTGGTGCTGTACTTTGTAAGCCTCCAGTTTCTTTTCATCCATCTCCATTGAAACCCTCCTTGCCTCCCAAGTTCCAATCTTCGCTCATGGAAATTTCTTCAACTCATCTTGTAAATTTGAACACTAATAATGTTGGTTGTATTCCATTTAGGTGACATGTGTGGTGGTACTGGCAAATGGAAAGCCCTCAACAGGAAGCGTGCGAAAGATGTCTATGAGTTCACAGAATGCCCTAATTGCTATGGTGAACTCTCTTCCTTTACTGTCCTTTCAGTATACCCATATGTCTGTTCCCTATTACTTGTTTCTCTGCAATGAGAAAGTCCCATATTTCGGGGCATTCAACAAATGGATGGTTCATAAACAGAACTGCTGGTGCAGAGTATCATTTGAATGCAAGTGTTTCTATGTGTTTCTGTACTGTATATTCCTACGCCAATACTTATGAAAGATGTATATTAGATGGTCAATAGGAAGGGACATCTATTTGAGCTAATACTGCTTCTTTATGGCGCAGGTAGAGGTAAACTTGTGTGTCCTGTCTGTTTGGGCACTGGTTTACCGAATAATAAAGGTCTTCTTAGAAGGCCTGATGCAAAACAGCTGCTTGATAAGATGTACAATGGTCGGTTAGTGCCCAACTCATAAGTAAGTGCATTCTTTTCAGTTCCTGTACAGACCGTATTTTGTTTATTCTGCAAAGACCTCTTATCATTGTGCTGTCTATTGAATGAGCATCTGTATATGTTGATTGAAGGGATCAGAAAATAAATGGGAAGAGGATAATGGTGATCAGGGCCTTAGTTGACAACTTACTCATATACACCAACAAGAAATTATGCATGATTCGAGCTTAGTAAATAGAGTCACTGACTGGTGAGTTTGAACATCAAATTCAGCTCAATATACCAGAAAACAGCCTGAGCATGAAACTATTATTCTTGCTAGTTCCTCTAAATCAGACTTCGTGATTTGCTTGATAAACCATGTCTTCCTACTTCATCGATGATCTTTTTGAATGTCAGGATGAATGGCTCATGGGAGTATATCCAAACAGTTGGAAGCAACCTGGCAACAGTACATAGTCGGTATATGACCAACGGAAAGCTTTCTGGACAGGGAAAATCCCACGAGAGGATTGTTAAGTTGTTGGATTTGGCAAAATCATCTTGTATCATCCTTATTTGCCCACCATAAAGGCATAAATTATATGTCAACTTGAGGTGCATTCTTAGCAGGCAATAGAATTAAGTTTATAAGTCATGCATGGCTCGAGATTATCCAAGCTGTTATATAGTATTCTGTTTATTGATGGATCAGGCAAGTCTCTTGCAGCTTTCGATCATATGCTAATTCGATATATGAGAGAAACAGCTATCAGCAACTTATACGATAACGGTCAGCCGAATTCAGCTAATGTAGTTATGTACTATCTTTCTTTGCAATGTCATTGTTTCATATAACCGTTGCTGGTAGGTTTACTCAGGAGGGACGAGGTTAACATGTATGTGAAGAACAAACTCTGATGGATTACAAAATGGAAATCTCCGCAAAACGGCACCGTATGTACATTCAGGTTAAGGCCCAGAGTTGAAGCTGGGCCGTGTGGGCTTAGTCTGAGCTGGCCGCATGGAAACTCATGTACAGTAACGGTGTAATGGATTGAACGGCGGATGGCTACTGTTACTTTAACGGGTCGTTTGCTTCATGTATTTGAAAAATGAGGGTTTTGGTAAAACTTGGGTTTTGGAAAACCATGGATATATGATGGATTTGGTGGCATTATGGATTTGACCAAGTCTATTGTTTGCTTGTTGGATTTGATTATAGATTTTGTTTGAATAGATTTGTGGATATGAAATTCAAATTACCTTGTTACCCTTATCTTATCTAATTATATTTCTATATTATAATCCATAAATTTCATTGAAAAAATCCAACGCATACAATGAAATTTTAAACTCTTTAGCACTATGTGGACTAATAATTCAACTACAAATATAGAAATGTATTATAGTTTGGCACTAATTAACAACTCATCTAATAATGTACGCAATATTATGTATCAATTGCAACCAATTGCTCGCTTTATTGCTACAACTCATCAACTTCTTGCTAACACCCCGATTTTGGAATCCGACAATCAATCAAATAATAATGCACAAAACGAGCATAAGATGTTTATAGTTGAATCTAACAAATCACATATACATTCATATTTAAATAAACTATGATATTACAAAACGAAATGAAAAATTCTCATATATATAAAATACGACATTATAAAAGTTTATAATTGCATGACCATTGAATTAAAGTAGGACAACTTTGTAATTAAAGTAATAAGTAAGGGTAGAAATGTAATTTACCATCATGGATTTTAATCCATCACCCAAATCCCACCTCAAGAGGTGGAACTTCCAAGTCCGTGGGGTCCACGGATTTGGAACCCCAAAAGTGGCGGGATCCACAAATTCCATCTCCCTAATTCCCTAAGGCAAACGATGGATTTCCGTTAAAGTCCATGATGGATAGATTTCCATGACCAAATCCATCACCAAAACCCCCCGTTTAGTATTATTTTGTTGTTGTTGTGGTTGTATTGATGTTGTGCAAACACATGCACAACCACAACAAGAAAAAAACAGATAACTCAAATCTGTTTAGTTGGTAAATATGAGAAATTATAAAAACTCACACCAAAAAACAGAAACGCGTTTAGTTACTTCTCAGTAAAAACTAAAAACCAAAAATCAGCATACTTGACATCAATCGAGCAACCTAATTTCTAGTCAACAATTGTTATTAGTAACTAAATATGATCACAATCCCAGAAAAATTGGGCCTCGATTCGCAAGAGCAAGTGGCATTTCTTTGCTGACAATTATCTGGGGCTTGAAAATTCCGCCAAGAGCAGAAGTGAAGGGAATGGACCAAAACCTGCATATCCCGTTCCAGTTCCAGAAATTAAAGGAAAGAACCAAACTAAATCCCATGCTTCATTCGATGATCAAAAGCGGATTCTCGGGGAAAAAAACTGTTCGTAGGAAGTGTGAAGTCCCAAAGTTCACGGTTTCACGAAACCTACAGAGAGGCGAGCGGCGAGATGGTGCGGCGGCGGAACGAGCGAACGACGAGGTCTGATGCGGCGAAGAGCTTGAAGGATGAGCGCTGGCGGTGGGTGCAGCGGCAAGACAGGGATGCCGGAGGGATCGTCGTTCCTCTCGGAGAGGAAGAGGATGAGCAGCGGCGGGCGAGTTTTTGTGGCTGAAAAAATAATGGAACGGTTGAATGGAGAGTAGGGTTGGGGCCTTGTGGAGGGGTTGAAAAAAATAAACAAAATTTCCGTATGTGAGGGGATTCGAACTGGGAGTTAGTTTAATGAAATCAAAGACACAACCCGTAGAAATCCCGTGTTAAACATGTGTACGAATCAGATCCAAAGCAATAATTTATTGTTTCTTTGATTTGGGCCTGGTTGTGTAACTCTGTTTCACAACAAAAATTAAAATCCTAACTAAACATGTTTTTTCTCCTCGGTTTCTGCGATTTTATAAAACACAACAAAAAACAAAAACAAGCAACAATACTAAAACAAGCAAACGAACCGTAAGTCTATAACAGAAGAAATGGAGTGAAGGGAATGGAACGCCAGGGCCGCCATGGACAGAAGAGTAGCACGAAATGAACAACTCGCTGCCGCTCTGTCTCTCGTATTTGACCCATGCCAAGACTTTAACATCTATCAAGCAAGTCCACGCCAATTTACTCAAGACTGGCTTTCACGCCGATCGTTTGGTCGCCGGGAGGTTACTCCTTCACTGTGCCACGGCTCTCTCCGACTCTCTCGACTACGCTTGCTCACTCCTGCGCCACGCTCCGGACCCTGATGTATTCATGTGCAATGCCGTTATTCGAGGGCTAGCGGAATCGGAAAATCCCGGGAAAGCCATCTCTGCATTTGTGGAGACGCGGAGGGATTTCGGGTTGCCTCCGGATAGCTATTCGTTTGCGTTTGCTCTTAAAGCCGCTGCGAATTTGAGGTCTTTCAGAGTCGGAACTCAGTTGCATTGCCAAGCTTTGAGCCATGGTTTTGATAGCCATCTCTACGTCGGGACTACTTTGATAAGTATGTACGGGGAATGCCGGTGTGTTGGTTTAGCAAGGAAGGTGTTCGATGAAATGCGTGAACCAAATGTTGTCGCGTGGAATGCTGTGCTCACTGCGTGTTTGAGGGGAGAAGATGTGAAGGGCGCGACAGATTTGTTTGATTTGATGCCGTTCAAGAACTTGACATCCTGGAACGTGATGCTTGCGGGTTGCATGAAGTCAGGGGAAGTAGAGCTAGCGAGAAAGGCTTTTTCTGAAATGCCGATGAAGGATGGTGTCTCGTGGAGCACCATGATTGTTGGGTTCTCTCAGAAGGGCTATTTTGATGAGGCTTTTGGGCATTTCAGGGAGTTGAGGAGAGTTGGGATGACACTGAATGAGGTGAGCTTGACTGGGGTGCTCTCAGCTTGTGCACAAGCAGGAGCCTTTGAGTTTGGAAAAATCCTCCACGGATTTCTTGAGAGAGCTGGCTTCCTTTGGATGGTTTCTGTTAACAATGCCTTACTGGATACTTATGCCAAGTGTGGCGACATAGCAATGGCTGGGCTAGTCTTTGAACGAATGCCTCAGAAAAGAACCATAGTTTCTTGGACCTCATTGCTGGCAGGACTAGCAATGCACGGTCATGGAGATGAAGCAATTCAGCTCTTTCATGAAATGGCATCAACTGGAGTAATGCCTGATGGAATCATCTTTATTTCTCTTTTATATGCTTGTAGTCACACTGGATTAGTTAAAGAAGGATGTACCTACTTTGATGAGATGAGGAATGTCTACAATATTGAACCATCTATTGAACATTATGGTTGTATGGTTGATCTATATGGTCGAGCTGGTCAGCTGCGGAAGGCATATGAATTCGCATGTCAGATGCCGATTCCAGCCAATGCAATTATTTGGCGGACTCTTCTCGGTGCTTGCAGTTTTTATGGGAATATTGAGTTGGCAGAGAAAGTGAAGCTAAAGCTTTCTGAACTAGATCCCTACAACTCCGGTGACCATATTCTACTTTCAAATGTTTATGCAGTTGCAGAGAAGTGGAAAGATGTTGCGGCTGTGCGACGATCAATGAATGATCTGAAAATCCAGAAAACTCCTGGGTGGAGTATGATTGAGGTAGATAAGGTCATGTATACTTTCTTGGCTGGTGTAAAGCAAGATGATAAGATTGTAGTAGAGGCTTATGAGAAACTGAAGGAGATAATGCTGAGGCTACGGTTGGAAGGAGGGTATGCTCCTGAAGTTGGTAAAGTCCTTTATGACATAGAAGAAGAGGAAAAAGAAGACTCCATATCCAGTCACAGTGAAAAGCTTGCTGTAGCCTTTGGGATTGGAAGATTGTGCAAGGGAAAGAAGATAAGAGTTGTCAAGAATTTGAGGATTTGCAGGGACTGTCATGTCATGATGAAGTTGATTTCTGATGTTTATAATGTTGAGATTGTTGTAAGAGATAGAAGCCGTTTTCACTCTTTCAAGGATGGGTTTTGTTCGTGCAGAGACTACTGGTGACTGCTGGTCAAAGCTGCAGCTGTGAATTTCATGTTGAAATGTAGAAGAGCAAACCAAGAAAAAAATAGATTTATCGTTGCGATGGTAGAACCTAGAATATTCCTACTGGCATGGACATAATAAGAATCGAGAATTGGGTCAATAGAATCAGCCCTGTGGTCTAGCTCGTCATGGTTCTGATGTTTCTGTCAACTAATTGGAGCTGAATGACTTTTGCTGCATTTCAAGATGAGGAGTTTCAACTGTTGCCAGCTCAACCTGGTTTGGTGACTTAGCACTGGACTGCTCCTAGCTCCTCGCCTAATGTCAAGAATGAGTGGTTATCAGCCAGTTGAAGTTGGTCCTGGTTGAAAACCCAATATCCGTCGAATGGTAAGAATTCCGAGTTTTCCTTGTATGTTATAGGGTTATTATATTGTTTCCCCCTTATTCATTGTTCTGAATGCATAGTTTTAGGGAATGGATCTGCATTGTACTTTCCTCAGTCAATATTTGATGATATGAAATATAAGTTCTTGGTTCTAACTCCACAATAATCTTCCCCGCCATTTTCTCCCAAATAGATAAACATAGTCATCAGTTATATCTTATTATCTTATGATCTACTCTTCTGCAGTAACCACTCTACTAACATTTTAAGTTCACAACTTTTGGATAACTCAAGGTTCCTTGAATTCACAAATTTTTGTTTATTTTCAAATGGAATTAAATTTCCTGATAGTTGGAATCTGAATACTGAATGTTTATTGTACTTGCTTGTAGGTGACATGTTAAATGGCAGGTACTTCATGCTATTGGTTTATAAAGGCCCAGTAATATAGCCTCTGCAACTCCCGGACTTCACCATCATTCTGAAAATCTTGATCAAAGGGTAAAGAAAGGAAAATGATAAGAGAACTGGGAATCAGAACCTTGATTGAGAACATACTCATATGCAGCTACAAGTTTTGCGTGATTTGCAGCCTAGTGATGTTGTTACTACTTGGTCCATTTGAACATCAGACTTAGCTCACCAGAAACCAGATAGAGAATTAAGTTGTTATTCATGCTCTGGTTTGTAAGTGTTTGTCTGAGCACAGATCTGCTGCTTCATTTTCGAAAGGCATTTTGAATCTCAGGATGGTGTTTCTGTCTGCTGTAGAAGTATATAGATCGCGCAAGCAACCAGAGACTTGTAACAGAAAAAGTGCCATCAGAAGGTTTGTAAGGCGCTGTATTTGAACACACTTCTTTTGAGAGGGCATGAATATATGAATCTTCATGTCAACTTGAGGTGGATGGAACTTCGATATCAAGGAGAGCTAAATTGACATCAGGTTTGGCTTACGAAAGGCATGAGTGTATATAAGCTGTACTGTAAATACTCTGTTCATTACAAGTACTCTACAGGCTTTTATAGGGGCACAATAGCTCTGATTTATACAACATTGGAACTATGATTAAGCAACTTGTGAAGGACCTATCTTTTGAAAATGGAAGATGGCTTTTGTTTATTCCTTTTCCTTTTGTACACTCTCTGTACAGTTGGTATTCCTTATAGCAAACGGCATTGCTTACATTGTTACCACTGCCAAGCGTCGATTTTGTGCGAGCCTGAATCGATTTAGCTTTCATTCACAAGTCACAACCAAACAGGACTCTGTCACACTTATTGCCTTCACAGTATATGTAGGAAATCAGAACTTCCCAGTCCTGAGTGAACAGCTCTTGAAACCAGTGGATAATGGTTGCATTCCGGTGATCGAGCTCCTGTGAATGTAGTTACTACCTGGTCCATTTGAACATCACACTCAGCTCACCAGAAAACAGAAAGAGAATTTAAGTTATTCTATTCATGCTCTGGTTCACAAGTGTTGTCTGAGCACAGATTTGGTGCTTCATTTTTGGAAGCCATTTTGAATCTCAGGTTGGTGTATCTGTCTGCTCTGGAAGTATTTAGATCGCCGCAAGCACAGGAGACTGTTTTTTAACAGAAGTGTCAACAGAAGGGTTTTTTTTTTAAGGTGCTGGATTTGAACACCCTTCTTTTGAGAGGGGTATCAAGATATGAATCTTCATATCAACTTGTGGTGGATAACTTCGATATAAAGGAGAATTAAATTGGCATCATTTTTGGATTACAAATGGCATGAGAACATATAAGCTGTATTATACATACTGTGTTCATTACAAGTACTCTACAGGCTTTTATAGGGGCACAACATAGCTCTGATGTTTATACTACATTTGAACTGTAATTAAGCAACTTGTGAAGGACGTATCTTTTGAAAATGTAAGATGTCTTTTGTTTATTCCTTTCCATTTTTTGTACACTCTCTCTACAGTTGGCATTCCTTATAGCAAATGGTATTGCTTACATTGTTATCACTGCCAAGCATTCGATCTTGTGCGAGCCTGAATCGTTTCAGTTCTTTTCTATAAATGGATGCAGACATTTTAGCTTTCATTCACAACCAAACAGGACTCTGTGAAATATGTCACCACTTGTAAGATAGTCTCCACACCTATTGCCTTCACGGTATATGTAGGAAATCAAACCTTCCCAGTCCTGGGCGAGCAGCTCTTGAAACCAGTGGATAATGGTTGCATTCCGGTGATTGAGCTCCTCCCTGCTCTGCAACAGGAGTACAACACACTTAGAGTCTAGCTCTACACGCACTCGGCGGTATCCAGCGTCCCAAACTGTAGACATTCATTTGTGCCTCTCAGGTTTGCTCGGGTGATGGAGCACGCACCAAGTCAAAGTGAATGCTGCTAAGCAACATTCTGTATGATCTTGAATCAGGCCACCTGCTAAAGCATGTCCTGAATCTGGTTTGACATAGCCATTAGAATTGAGAGTTACCCATTCCGAAGGAGAGGCTTCCAAGAGATCTCCGCCTCCTTTCTAATGGGCAGACGAGGCGAGTATGTGATCAATTGCTGATGAGACGAAGCATTTCGAGAGGGGTTTTGACTTGCAAAGCCTTCTGAGGGAAAATCCAATGGGGTTGATCAGGTGGGGTTAATCCTACTTGCCCTCTGTCTTTGCCAGTCTGTTGACGCCTTCAACCCACAGAGCTTCACTCTGCTCCCTGTTCCTTGCAGCCTTCCATCTCTTGAGGGCTGGAGCAGGTCTCAGGTGTTCTGCAAGCACAGCAAAATATTGAGAATGTTTATTCTCAAGGAAATGTGCCTTTATATACACATTACTGGATATTCTAATGACTTGTTACAACCACATAACTGGATGCCAAAAAGCTAAAAGCAAACTTTTGCAGCATTCGGAAGAGGAAGTCAGGTAGATCGAGCTTGTCACTTCAATATGGAAACATATTGACTCTGACATACTACAAATGATGCCAGTGCCTATCATAAGGTAAGATGCATCCTTGGAGGTAACAGAGGTGGGAGAAAGAAACATACACAAGCACACATAACGTACTCCTATGAACCTCAGCCCAGTAATGGGACATTTGGGTCCACTGGTTCTCTTCATGATGGTGTGGTACACAACCATCACGACTGCATTAAAGATGCAAACATATTCTACCAGATGAAGATACCAACAGATTCCACCCGAGAATATTTAAATTTATTTTCTCAAGTGACAAACAAAAAAGCCAACCAAAATGGTGAAGAAACTGAGATAGAGACTAACCTCTCTTTTACAGCACCTCAATGGACCACACCCATTTAGTCAGTTCACTGTCACTCAGTTCCTTGATACACTAGATATCTTGTATCCAGCAGGCTTAAGTTTGGGATCTGTGAACAGAGCAGGTAATTTTGAATTGCTATCACTTACAGAAGATGAGCAAGGATAGACCAAGAAAAGGGAAATTTTTGTTTTAGTTATACTCACTTTAAGTGGGTGACCATGTCTTCCATTTTATCATGGATGCATACGGATTGACTCGATATGAGAATTCCACATGAATGATCAAACAGGGTGTCTCATGTGAAGCTCCACCCAGGTTCCTTGATGACTCCAATTCTACTCATCCTTCTTCTTATCTCTACTGCTTCCTTCCATTTTCCTACATCTGCAAAGATGTTGGACAATGAGATGTAAGTTCCTGAACGGCCTGGTGCCAATTCCATAACCTTTTCTGCTGCTACTTTTCCAAGCTCAACATCTCCATGCAATTTGCAAGCAGCAAGCAGCGAAGTCCACACAAGGGAATCAGGGTCAATAGGCATACTGTCTATGAACCTTTCAGCTTCTTTCAACCTGCCTGAACGGCCCAGAAGATCAACCATGCAGGCAAAGTGACGGTTGTCAGGCTCAATCCCGAAGTCTCTGGTCATTGAATGAAAACATGAGTGGCCTCTTTCAACCAAACCAGCATGGCTACAAGCTGAGATAATCTCCACAAAAGTTACAGCATCAGGTTGAATTCCCTTTTCGATCATATGGTCGTAGACTTGTAAAGCCTCTTCACCTTTCCCATGACTAGCATAGCTTGCTATCAGTGATGTCCAACTTATAAGGTCAGGCTCATCAATCTGATCAAAAGCTTTAGAGCAATCTACAATGTTTCCACACTTGGAGTACATTGTGACCAGTGAACTTCCTACTGAAAGTTCAGACGCTAGGCCCACTTTCGTAACAAGTGTATGAACTTGCAGCCCTAGGTCCAAACTGTTTATAGCTCCTAGGGCAGAGGATATCGTGAACGAGTCGACTTTAAAATTAGAAGCTATCATTTCGTGAAATAGGACCACTGCCTCTTCAAGGAGACCATTTTGAGCATACCCTGAAACCAAGGAAGAGCATGCAACCTGATCTTTCTTAGGAAGCATGTCAAACACTTTACTTGCAAATGCTAGAGCACCACATTTTGCATACATAGAAACAAGTGCACCACCAGCAAATGACTCGGTGCCTAATCCAGCACGAAAAACATAACCATGAATTTCTCTCCCCTTATGAAGGGATTGGAGAACTGAACATGCACCAAGAGCAGCTGTGAGTGTGTTCTGATCAGGTTTATTTCCTGCAGAAACCATGTCCCTGAAAAGTGAAAGAGCTTGCTTCCCACAGCCATGCTCTGCGAACCCTGCAATCATTGAGGTCCACGAAACATTGTCTCTAAAAGGAATTTGCTCAAAGACTTCGTATGAATCTTGTAAGCTACCACTCTTTGAGTACATTGTGAAAAGAGAACTTCCAACCGAAAGATCAAACACAGATCCAAATTTTAGCGCATGGCAGTGAATTTGTCTCCCTAAATGCAAACAGTTGACAACACTCAAGATACTAGAATAAGAAAACTTATCTGGTCTTTGACCCTCCTGCAACATTTTCCGAAACATCTCAACAGCCCTTCCAGAGTTATGACTCTGGGCAAGGGAAGATATCATAACAGCCCATATACCTGGGTTCTTTATCTCGTCCATTTCTGAAAATAACATCTCTGAACAATCAAAAGCATCTAATTTCAAATATGTATTAAGTAAAGCCGCACCAACTACTGCATCCAGATGAAATCCAGCTTTGACTATCCAGCAATGGATTTGGATTGCTTCCTTAGCCATGTCAGGTTTTGCACATGCAGTCAGGACACTAGTGATAGTAAAGTTATTTATTCGCTCATTCGTACTCTTCATTTGCCTGAAAATTTTGAGTGCAGCGACAGAATCATCTTTTTTCACAAAACCAGATATAATGGCAGTCCACGAAACTACATTGCGGACAGGCATTCGATTGAACTCCTTGGCAGCTTCGTCCATATCACCAACTTTGGCGTATAAATCAACTATGGCAGTTCCCACAAATACGTCTTTCGAATTGCACTTAATCACCCACCCATGAACTGCTCTTCCAATCTGAATATCTTCAAGAGCCCCACAGGCTGTCAAAACACTAGAAAATGTGAAAGTATTTGGCAACATGAACTCGCGACCCATTCTTTGGAAAAGATGCAAAGCAACAGAATTCTGCCCGTTTCTAACTGCGCCAGAGATCATCGAATTCCAGCAGACCACATTGCCACAATTAACTTCATTGAACACCTTGAAAGCATCTTCTAGCCTACCATTCTTCGCAAACAAATCTATCATCCCTGCACGAACATACCCACTTGAGAAAGACCCATTCTTTTCTGAGAGCGAATATACCAGCTCACCTAATATAGGAGCCGAGAGGGAGGCACAAGCAGAAAGAACACTGCCATAGGTAATATCATTCGGCGGAAACCCTGAAGCGTGCATCCTGCGATAGAATCTCCAAGACTCTTCAAACAAAAATCTGTCGTTATAGCTAGAAATCACAGTATTCCAAGAAATCACATTTGGTTCAGGAATTGTGTCGAACAGCTTGACAGCATCAAGCATAGCTTGAGACTTACAGTACCAGCCAAGCAAAGAGTTAGCAACAAACAGCGTGGAGGGTAACCATCCCGTTTGAAGCGAACGGGCATGTAAGATTCTTGTTTTCTCGAGCGTGCAATGACGAGTTTTGGCGTACTCATTGAACAAGTCCAGCGCGGGAAGTGAAGGAGTCAAATTCATTCCACCGGTTGGGTTTCCCTTGGCAGCCAACGAAGGTTTAAATCCACCCAAAACTGGTGGGACTACTTTCAGCAGCTGGAGATTTCTGTTGAGCTGGCAATTCATCTCGCCTTCACTTGGCGGAGAGAATTCAGTAAACAGTGCAGCAGCCGGAGGAACAAAGCATTAGCATCTGTGAAGAGTGCAGTGGAGAGAAACCCATTTGTAAGAGACAAGTATCCAAACGCGACCTATCTATTGCATTTCGCTTTACGGTAAGGCGCCGGCGAGGAAATCTCCGGGGCGACGGAGGAAGAAGATATGGGTCGTCCGGTCCGTTCGACTGTGTGGAATCGGCGGGAGAAGCACCAACCTTCAAGACTATGCGCAATGGCATCCAGTAGTTTTGAGCTTTAGGCTGAAAATAGAACAGCAGCCGTGACAGACAGGCCCATGAATTAACAGAAGCCATATTCACATCGGGCCTTTGGGCTTTGGCTCTTAACCTTGTGGTCTTCGCGTCCCACCGTGAGCCAATTGTTTGAACCTATACCCCAGGTCAACACAGTAGTATCTTGGGCTATGATTTGGGGCTAAGATCTGGTGACTAAGGGGTCCCCGTAGTCACATGGCTAAGTGAATCTCCACCCTTGCACATCATTAAAATCCAAGGGCTCCTATTAATCCAATTAATGAAGGGCAATGTAGTAATTGCATATTTATTTATAACTTTTAATTATAAAAGAAATAAAAAAAACAGTGTCGGCCGTCCGTCCCCGTCGCGTCGCCTGCGCGGCCAGGGAAATTCCTGGGGCGCCATTATTTCCAATGGGAATTCCCCTTCCTGTACGCCCACGCCCATTGTCGCCGGAGAGAGAGAGAGAGAGAGAAAGAGAGAGAGAGAGAGAGAATTTTTTTGGTCGGAAAATTTTTTCCGGCGAACATCGTCGCCGGAGAAGAATTTCCCGGCGACAGTGCTAATTTTGTGATGTTTGTTGACATATTTTGTAATGTTTGTATGCTTTGTTATTTTATAATGTTTGTCGGTTTTTTTTGTAATGTTTGTAAACTTTGTTATTTTTGTTAACCATGTTTGTAAACTTTGTCATTTTTGTGCACCATGTTCGTAATATTTTTTATGTCTAAAAAACACCCGGGTTGACTTTGGGAAGGAGCCCCTCTATATAGGGATGAAGCCTCCAAAGTCAACCCGGATGTTTTTTTCCGTTCGTATGGATTGTCGGTCTAGTTTGTCATTTTTGTCCACCATGTTCGTACTGTTTGTATGTCTAAAAAACACCCGGGTTGACTTTGGGAAGGAGCCCCTCTATATAGGGATGGAGCCTCCAAAGTCAACCCGGTTGTTTTTTCTTTTTGTATGGTTTGTATTGTTTGTCAGTCTAGTTTGTATTGTTTGTACAGTTCATACGTTTGTAATGTTTGTAAATCTGTTTGTATGTTTTGTCGCTCTAGTTTGTACTGTTCGTATGTTTGTATGGTTTGTACTAATTGTAAATCCGGTTTGTATACTTCGTAATTTTCCATAATACCCAAACTACCCCTGCCATTAATTAAATAGCCCTTCCCACTTTTTAACCATTGGATTGAAGTGTCCAGATCTAATGGCTAGGAGGGGCTTAGTCAAGTGACTAAGCACCCCCCTTAGTCACCAGATCCGCACTCATTTGATTTGTACTCCCTCGTTTGATCTTTTTGAGAGGCGAGAACCTGTGGAGAAGAATGAGTGCCCCGGGATCTACGTTCTAACACCCAAATTAGTATAAAATATCAGGGTTCAAGAAGGCGTGCCTAGGCGCTCGCCTAGGCTTAATTATGCGCTAGGCAATGGAAGAGCGCTTCGCTTTTGACAAAAGCGCAGGAAAAAGCGCTAGGCACGCATAATTAAAAATAATAGCGTCTAAGCTGCCAGGAAAGCTCCTAAGAGGTCGCCTGAAAGCGCTAAATTGGGGCTAGGCATTAGGGCCACCTTGATTCCCTGAACGACCCCGTTTTCATCTCGGCCTCCTTGCGGAATGGATTAACCTCTTTGTGTGTTTGCAATTCTTCTAACAAGTACGTTTTCTTCGTGGCTTTAGTTTAAACTACAGGAGCACTAACTTATTATTTAAGTGGAACTTGAGATGAGGCAAGATAGCCACATGGGGTTATATCTCAAGCAAATTTTTATAATTGATTAACAAAAACAAACGGCAACCAAATATGGATTAAGCTAGTATTAATTTGTTTTCTATAAGAAATTACCTTTCTCAATTATTTATTACTTTGTTTTCTATAATAGATTTACCTATCTAGTATCTATAATGGATGAGAGAGCTCCACTGTGAGCTTTGTAGGAGTGCAAGAGTGAGAGAGCTCCATGTTGAAGAATTCGAGTTTGAAGAAGAGGGTAAGGAGGAAGACGAAAAGTTAAGATTGTGTTTAAGGATGGTAAAGATGAAATGGTGACTGGACGGACCTACTTGGATGCTCAAGAATGAGCTTTTTCTGCTTATTTACTATTGTTTAGTATTTTGACTTCTTATGAACTTGTCATTCTAGAAAATGGTCACAACTTGCTTGTTATTTGTTATAATAAGCGTTAACTGTTGAGAACTAGGAGTTTCTAATTTTATATGAATTTGTGATCATATGAAGTATTAAAGAAAAAGGAAATATTTGAGAATTTTTCTCATTTATGCTCTGAACGCATAGGCACGCTTAATCAGGCTAGGCACAAGTCAGGAGTCGAGCGCTCGCCTTACGCCTAGCACCTTTTTGAACCTTGCCAAATATTAGTGGATTAGGTGAATGTAGAGAAATAAAACTAGAGAGACTTTGTGTGATGAATGTGGGGAAGAGAGAGAAGTCGCTTATTTGGAGGGCTTGAGCTTCCTTATGTAGGAAGCTTCCACTCAGTTGGGCGCCTTAATGTGGATGGAGTGCCTCCGGGTAAGATGGACGTCTTCGAGTAATCTGGGCGCCTTAGTGTGGACAGGACGCTGTCGAATAACTTGTGCACCTTGAAGAGAGTTGGACCCCTTGTGGTGAGCTTGGAGCCATCAATAGACATTAATATCGTATCCAACATTAACCATACATCAATGTCGGACCAACATGTAAAATTTGATAGTACGCGGAGAGTAAAAGACGCAGAACACCAGATTTACGTGGTATCCCCGTTCAATGTGAACGGGACTAATCCATGGAGAACTGGAAGTTCTCGGAGAAAACTGTTTGTGCCTAGTAAATACTAGGCGGTTTGTGGAGCTGGGGCGATGCGTCTGTTCTTGGATAGGGGGAGCGCTCCAGATACTCTGCAAAACAAGGGTCCAGAACGGTCGCCCGGGACACTCTCCGAAGCCTAAGTTAGAGAGAGAAGGGGGAAAGAGATATGTCTATGATAGAGAGATAGAGAGTAGTTGAGTTTACCATTAATGCACTCACTCTGTATCCTAGTTTGAGGGTGGTTGAGGCATTAAATGCCATGTCGGGCGTCCTGGGCCGTGTCAGGCGTCCTGGGCAGGCTTTTAGCCTTTCTGCAGGCCGCTTGTGGCCGGCAATAAATGCTTAGTCTCACCTGACACAGAATACGTATCTCAACGGATCTTTACTTTTCTGTACTAGCCAGTCGCTTTATGTCAGGCGACCCTATCTATTTTTCGGGTCTAGAGTCGGTCAAGGACCGCCTGCTGACCCGGTCTTCTGGTCGAACTAGGTTCCCTTATTGGGCCTTATCTGTCGCCTTATCCTTCTTGGGCCCGAGGCCCAAGTACGCTCAACTATGCAGCCCAACAATTGCCCCTTAGGTGGGAAAAGCCTAGGGTTTTGGCGGCTACTAATAATATATTCAGCTAGTTGAGCGGTTCACGCCTCTTCCTCATCCTGCTCTGCCCCTGGTCGCCGGAGACCTAGGGTTGACCTGCCTGAGTCGTACTTCGACCGCCCTGCGGGTTTTCCGGGTGGAGACGCATCGCACACATGGCGCGGATTGGTTTCCAAGCTCTGACAGCGGGCAGGCGAAATGTCCTTTCACTTGCCCGTTTATTGAATTTTGTAGACGAGGGCTCTGCCTCGGGCACCCAACCGTCACATCACTTTCTTTTCGCTATTATATATACCCCGAACTCTTCTGTTTGTGGGCATTCTGGCATTTGCTTTCTCTGTCTATTGTTTCAAAATTGCTCGGTGCTCTAGATTCTCTCTTTCCCGTTATTTGGAGACTCATCCTTCTCTCTCGGCGGAGCGATACCGATTTCTCACTTCATTGAGATGATCTCAGAAACGATCCAAGAGGAAAAGAAAACTACTAGCGGCGATGACTTCTTGCTCTACCACCCCCTCTGATAGCCAGAATCGCGGCCTTTCCGGTGACATGGCACCGCCATCGGCCTCCGATGTTGCTACGACCACCGCTTCCGGCGCCGCGACAGCCACCGCTTCCGGCGCGGCGGCGACCACCGCCTCTGGCGCTGCTGCGGCCACCGCCTCTGGCGCTGCTGCGGCCACCGCCTCTGGCGCTGCTGCGGCCACCGCTTCTGGCAACGGTCCAGTTCCCCGTGGCAGCGCTTTCTTTCGCCCTTTAAGTTTATCTGACATAGAATGGGACTCAGAGGGTATTGAATTGCTGTGTGGGTGTGGTGATGCGGTTGACGTGAGAGAGCGTCTAGATAGGCCTGACGGTTGCATTTTAGGGCTAGGAGTGGGCGCTCTAACCGATACAGCTACTTCGATGGTCGAGCGTGGCGCGACCTCCAGGGTTGGGGACAACCTTGTAGAGCTGTCCTCCGAAAGCGTGCCGGAAGACACGCCCCATGATTCCGTCGGGGAAGACTCCGCTGCGGACTCCCCCTCTTTGGTACTATTAGAAGCGCCAGTGGTCCACCCGTTCCAGGCGGTTGCAGACCGCAAGTACCGCGTGCATTTACACGCGGATATGTGGGAAGGGGAAGAGGTTCCCAATGCCTTCTATTGGTACGGACCGCTTTACAAGCCTGCCTACTCTCCCATACAAGTACTCCGGCAGCTTCACAGGCATCGGCTGCCGACTGATTGGGAGTATGCGGCTCCCTCTCTTGGATGACGTTGCGGTTCGTGTCCAGTTGGGTGGATCACCATCTTCACGGAGC